CTTATTGTGTATGCATGCCATCTTACATGTGCATAAGTATGAAATTCCTTACACTTAGTCCAAAAACTCGAGATTTTGGTTAAGTCTCAAGAGTTTGGATTATTTTCCCACAAATCATGGTTAGAAACAAAAAATTTTATGTAACCAAGTATAAGTCACAAATTATTATATCAACTATTAGGATTTGCTTCAAGATTTGCTTAAACAAGTTGTGGACAAAATAATTTGAAAATGATTAAATTATGGATGTAACGCCCCATTTCTGGTATGTGATTTAAATAAAGTAATTTTTATTTTCTTAAGGGATACTCGACGAGTCTGTAGCCCAACTCGTCGAGTAGAGACGGGTTGATCACGCGTATTAAGCTGGCTACTCGGCGAGTCCATATGCTGGGACTCGGCGAGTTCGCTTGTCTGGATGAAGCCCTAATTTTAAGGGTCTGCACCCTATTTAAACACATTTATGCGCCCCAACCTCGCCTCCATCACCCTCAGAACATTTCTTATCAAACCCTAGCCTCCTTAAAGAGTGTGTGAGTGGTTGTTGCCTTGTGAAGGAACTTTTGGTGCATTTTGGAGCAAGTAGAAGAAGGAGAAGGTTGAAGAGTTCAAGGAAGAAGAAGTAGATCCGGGACACACTCCTTTGTGGTCATCTTTTCTGGTAATAAAGTCTCCATCTTGTTTATTGATCTAATAGATCTAGTTTGTCCCCAAAATTGTTGATATTAAGCTCAAAAACCCCAAATCTCTTGTAATAAAGCCTTATGATCGAGTTATACTTCAGATCTAGCCCCTCTTGAACTCCAGGAGCTCATTATAGCCACCTTTATGCAATCTTGGCCTTGTTCCAAACCCTAAGTGCTTAGTAGTTGATGATTTTGGGTATTTTAGCCTCATACCCTTGTGCATGCACGTAAAGTTGGAAACTTTACGTGTAAAACCAGTCCTAGAAGCTCAGATCTATGATTTAGAAGCACTGAAATCGATTAGAATCGACTGTATAGTAATAGCATGCTTGGGACTCGGCGAGTTGTTCTTCAACTCGGCGAGTTGTTCTTCAGGCTCGACGAGTTGTTCTTACGACTCGGCAAGTCGCAGACTGGACGTGTTCATATGATGAAGGAGAACTCGACGAGTTGTTCATACAACTCGGCGAGTCGGATGAAGTTAGACTCGATTTATGTATCGAAGAAGAACTCGTCGAGTCTTCGCCAAACTCGACGAGTAGAAGCGAGTAGAGGACTAGAACGGATGAAAGGGACTCAGCGGGTTGGCGGCCCAACTCGGCGAGTCCGGTCAACTGGAAGTTGACTTTGACCGGGGGTAAAATAGTCATTTCACCCTCAGTTTAGTTATCAGTATTTGATTGAGTATATTTATGGGAATTGTAGCCGGGGAGATACCGGAGCAGCAACAGACAGTTCTCGAGTAGCTTTTCCAGCATCCAGCTTACGAGGTGAGTTTCCTTTCAGTAGGAACGGGTCTACGGCCACAATGCTGGCCCGTTTAGTTAGCAGTAGTTCCGGACGTCGGTCCGATGCAGTAGTTCAGTGTGCTTGAGGTCTTTGTGATTCAAGCATGTCTTTTGGTTATGTGTTCCGGACTTCGGTCCGATGCAGTATGCAGTATATGTGTTTAAGCCAGTAGTTGTGATTATGCTATGTTATGTTCAGTCAGTTCCGAAGTTCGGTCCGATGCAGAGGGCACGACCCTGGTTAGTTCCGAACTTCGGTCCGATGTAGTTTCCGGACTTCGGTCTGATGCAGAGGGCAAGGCCCTGGTTAGTTCCGGACTCCGGTCCGATGCAGTTTCCGGGCTTCGGTCCGATGTAGAGGGCAAGATCCTGGTTAGTTCCGGACTTCGGTCCGATGCAGTTTCCGGACTTCGGTCCGATGCAGAGGGCACGGCCCTGGTTAGTTCCGGACTTCGGTCCGATGCAGTTTCTGGACTTCGGTCCGATGCAGTGGGCAAGGCCCAGTAGTTGTTTTATATGTTATTGTATGGTATGTGGTAGTTTGGGGGAACTCACTAAGCTTTGTGCTTACAGTTTCAGTTTTGGTTTCAGGTACTTCCGCTAGCAAGGGGAAGAGCTCGGGATGATGACGTGACACACACTACAACTTCAGTTTAGCCTGGGAGTTCACTCTGATAGTTTGATATGATTTGACACATTTTCTGATTTGATACATTGATTATAACTTTTTGAGATACACGTTCCATGATTTTATGATATGACATTTGATGTTGTGATTTTTAGTAATGTTGAAACAAAAATTTGTGGGTCGTATTTTTGGGATGTTACAATGGAAATAATAATATTTTGGATTATTTTTGGCCAAACATAAATACAAGGGTTATCTTGGAATATTATGTCATACTCATGACTTTTTACCAGATTAACAAACTATTTGTGATTATTTATAAATATTTAATATAAATAATGTTATCAAGAAAAATATACGAAAACAGAGTTTTCATGACAAAATATTTGCATGTCATAAAATGCTGTCGTAAAACCTTTAGGAACATAAGTAATGTTCTATATGTCATAAAATAGAAAATGCGTGTCATAACCTGCAGTCATAAATTTACACAAATTATAACTTGACACTTTTCTCTTGACTAATATGGGCCTGAGCCGAAAATTTATAGAAAGGAAAGACCATTTTTGTCAATTCCGATAATGTTGGGTCATTTTGATAAACGTTCAAAATGACTTATTTTTCAATAAACGAAACGGAACGAACACGAGCACCCAGTTAACAAGCACAATAAACGATATGGAACGAAAACGATATTTTTATTCAATGAGTACGAATTTCATTATTTATCTAACAAATAATGGATCTCAAACGATTGCTCAAAAGGTTGTTAATATTCTAGTCAGACAAATCTCAAAAGTACCTAAATATAAAAATATTAGTGTACGTCTAAAGTCCTGTAAGGAGTTATAGCCAGAATCTCCTGGAGGGAGAGCGGAAATTTGTGTATAGATCTATACGGGGTTGACACCCCGCACCTTCGCTGTTCGCTACAGCTAGACCGGCCAGTCTAGGGTGACAAATGTCTTTATCAAAACGACGGCGCCTGAGAAACGCCAAAACAGGTATCGGTCATATTAGTATGGTTATAACGACTCACTAGAATATGTTATGTTATCTAGAAATTTATGTAAGGAAAACCTCGTAAATAAATTTTGGCACGTTGTGTTGACTGTCCTACGCATGGTAGTGATGGTCCGCATTTGTTGCGTTGACTGTCCTTTTTCATTACGTAGAATGTCCGCAATTGCCATGTTGATTTCTTTCACCTAACAAGTACAGAGTCTTAATACTGCTATTTTACAAATCAGAAAACGTAGGCCTTTATGGAAAACGTTTGTATACGATTTTTGAAAACGACAAACTAACACACACGTGTGCAAGTTTACACAAGTGGAAACAGAACTTACGAATATTTTATAGCAGAAAATATAGAATTTTCTGGAGTAAACGATTTTATACGATTTCGATAACGATAAACTAGAACGCACACTCAATTTTACTCGATAAGAAAAACAAGATTTACAACTATATTCTCTTTTTGAAAATAGGGGATTTCTGGAAACGGTTGACTATTACTACACAAAAGAACTATTCTCGAACACAGCTCGCCTTTACAAATTACACTACTTTTCATAATCACTCCTTATAAGGATGAACAAAAGTAACGACATGCACACATATATCCATGATTTTCAAAGCAAAGCTTCAAACGATTTCATAGAAAATATCGGATTTTCTGAAAGTACAATGAGAACGATTCTAAACAACTGTAAAACTGTTTTTATACAAAAATGTTTATGAACTCACCAACTTTTTAGTTGACGCTTTTCAAAACGACTTGTATTCTCAGGGATGTAGTAAGCCGGCAACAAGGGACGCGAATGCAGGACTATTTAGCTGTAGTTTGGAATTTTTTTGCTTATGTCTCTTTTGTATAACTCGAAGGGCAAATACAATATGTAAACAATGTAAGTTTGTTATTTCAAGGTATGATGTTTGGATTGCTCTGTTTCATTTATATTCAATTGTTATGATACTGCACAATGTAGTCACCCGCCTCCGGACATTTCCGCCGTCTGCTCCGGGGGTGTGACAGTTTTTGCGGGTTTTCTTGCAGTTTTTTGCGGTTCGGTTTTTTTTGCGGTTTTTTGTCATTTTTTTCCTTTTAGTTTTTTGTGGTTCAGTTTTTATGATATCACCACCTCTTGGTTTGAAATCAAATGATATAACCATTAATTCAACGTGCTTCTAATGTTTGAATATAATACAAATTAAATAGAATATTTGTTTCACATTTACATGATATAATATCAATTAATATATTCAATAAAATGATACTATCATCGATATTACTCTTCATATTTAAATGTTAAAAATGTCATAAACATTATTTGTTCTTCTAAATATCACTAAATGTATGCTTAAAAATATACAATCATCTTCTGATAAGATAAATATTTATATTGATAAAAATTTTAATTGTCACGAGTTCTTCGTTCTTACAAATATCAACACTTTATATATATATATATATATATATATATATATATATATATATATATATATGCGGTGCGGTTCGGTTTTTTGCGGTTTTTGCAAGACTAGAAACCGCACCGCACCGAACATTTTCGGTTTTTATAAAACTAAAAACCGCACCGTCGGTTTTTATTTCGGTTTCGGTTTTTTGGTTTCGGTTTATGCGGTTTTTTCGGTTCGGTTTTTAAATGTTTTCGACGATACCGTCATCACCAACTCACTACGTCCGTTCGTCCTAGTGATTATATTTACCCGATTTACTATATTTAATTTGAAGAGAAAGTTAACAAAAATCTAGAATATATTATAATTGAAATTCAAATTAAGATATCAGATATTAAATTCAGATTATCCAATTTATATAATATTAACTCCTACTTATAAAAACAAATGCTAAAAGAAAGACAATGTTTAATGACTTGATAGGAACATGTGTCTCCGTGTAAAAAGAACATGGAAGGACATATGATCATATCCTACTAGTCGGCAACTAGAACTATGTAAAGGAACGAGAAGCAAAGACGATATTGGAATGGAGTTCTCCCAGCAACGATTGAAAATGGCGAAAAGATGGACGATGTGTAATAAAAGGACTAATTCTGGAACATATCAATTAATCACCATCGTCAGGTTCGAATAAAGCGTCTGCTAAACATCATGCCCATCTTTGCTAAATTGGTAAAGTTAATGCGCGTTGAGTTGTTCATCAATGACAACTGATGATGGTAACAGTTCTTGATTCCTGATTCCTTAAATTTAATTATAATATACATCAAACGAATCATAAACCTAAGCCGTCCCTTTTCCCTATTTATTGACATTCTGTAATCACATATACAATCACCTGCTTTTCATCCATAGTCACTGAGCTTCAATTCTTCTTATAATTTATCGAGCTCGCCCTTTGCTGCCTTGAATTTTGTAAAATTGAAGATTTTGCTGATTCGTAAGAAAACGTGCAGACTGCATAATGGATTGGTTTGGCAGCACCCATGAAGTTTCAAGCAGGCGATATAATGGGAGATATGGAGGGAGAACAGCATCAATGGGAACAATACTTCCTTCTACATCATCGGTAATGATCAGTATCGTTTTAACTATTATGCCATAATGATACTACACCTTGAAGTTTCATGATTGCTTTACCTTTGTAGATCACACGGAGAGAGATCGAAAGCATTGACAGGGCAATTGCAATATCATTTGCAGACGAAAGAAGAGGAAATCATGTGATCAGTAAGTGAAACTATATATTTCTTAGTTTGTTTCCTTCAACTCTTTTTTTTCCCCTTTAACTCTTTTTCTACTTGAAATAGATGAAGTTTTCCAAGTGAAAGAAGACGAGCGTCTTGCAAGGGCTCTACAGGAAAGTTTGAAATTGGGTGAGCCTTCACCCTGGAACAGAAATGTTTCTGGTTCTTGTTACAATGAAAATAATCATCCACGATGTGATGTTTGCAAGAACTTTGTAAGTATCTGTTTCAATTTCAGGAAAGCATCACATACTTTTAATTACCTTTCACCTGAAATTCATCAATCTTTTTTACAGATTCGAAAAAATACTGCTGGTGTTGTTGTATACAAGGCACATCCTTTCTGGGGTCAGAAATACTGTGCGTATCATGAGCATGATGGGACCACAAGGTGTTGTAGCTGTGAGCGAATGGAAGTAAGTTTTGATTAATTACACTTACCTTCAAAATTGTACTATTATTTTTTTTTTTACAATTTTTAGAAATAAAAAACGGATATAACATTTTCAGTCAAAGGAAACACGATATGTTGCTCTTGGTGATGGACGAAAGCTATGCTTGGAGTGTATTGATTCCGCAGTCATGGATACCACCGAATGTCAGCCACTTTATAATGATATACAGAAATTTTATGAAAGTATGGGCATGAAAGTGGAACAGAAGATTCCTTTACTTTTAGTTGAGAGACAAGCACTTAATGAGGCCATGAATGGAGAAACGAATGTAAGGAAAAGTATTTTAAAGGGAAAGTCGATCTGTGTTTGTTCTTGTTTCTTATTTCTTATTTCTTATTTTCCATTTTCTTTTTCAATTAATAGGGCCATTACCACATGCCGGAGACCAGAGGACTATGCCTTTCTGAGGAACAAACCATTAGCACAGTAAGTATTAAAAAAAGTTTCATGGATTTTAGGAATGAATGATATGAATGTTGTAGTTTTGTTGAATGTTATTGGTAGGTTTCGAGGCAACCGAGAACTGGGATTGGAATGAATTGGGCCCCAAACATGAGAAGAGAGCCATATAAGCTGACACGTATCTGTGAGGTTACAGCCATTCTCATTCTACATGGACTTCCAAGGTATTGCTGCTTTTGGTGACACGTGGCTTTTTTTTTTTTTTTTTTTTTATCTATATCTATATAATTAAATAATTAAATAATATATATATATATATATACTTAATTAGGTTGCTTACCGGGACAATCTTGGCACATGAAATGATGCATGCGTGGCTGAGGCTGAATGAATACGTGGCTCTCCGGCAAGATGTTGAAGAAGGAATATGTCAGGTGGTAGCTCACATGTGGTTGACATCTCAGATGGGATCCATATCTGGTCAAGGGAAAAGGTTTGCGTTAGAGAAGAAGCTTGCGGAGTTTTTTAAATACCAGATTGAATCTGATCAGTCTCCGGTGTATGGGAATGGTTTTAGAGCAGGACATCGGGCTGTGGTTAAACATGGCCTTCAAAAAACATTGTACAACATTCGATCAACAGGAAACTTTCCTTTCTGATTAAATGATTTGTGTAATGTCAAGTTGGTGTTAGATTGTTAGTATATATGCCATGTTGTTTATCGTTTCTCCTTAGTATGTGTTATTTTCAAATCAGTTCTTGATATTGCTATGAAAGAGATGTATACAAAGAAAAATGAAACTAGTAGGACTTGATTTCATTTATATTAATAAAATCTCCCTTATTTATGTATATGGTCCCTAAACTTTGGTTTTTTTTTTTTTTTTTTTTTTTTTTTTTTTTTTTTTTTGTCACACAATTCTGCCAAAATCTATGTTCTTCCATTTCTCCCTGTATTTTTTCTAGCTAACGAATATTACGTACTCCAAGGAAATAAATATTGCAACTTACACAAACTCCACATGTAATTGCTTTTAATTATACATTACATCCTTTTTCGTCATCATCACAAACATTGATCTCGTTAAAGGGATCAGATTTTGTTAATATTATTCTTCCTGAACAACGATCTACAGTCCTCTGTAAATCAACATGAATTCTAACTAAAGAAGATACTACCTCATCCATGCTTGGTCTGCTCTCTGGATCTTGTTTCACACATGCCAGACTTAATTTCACCATTTGAACTGCATACTCCATGCTTCCATCTTCTTCATCGGCTAAATCAATCATGCACATAAGCTCCCTTTTTGCATTTACTCCATCGACCATGATTGTAGCCATTGTTGTTGAAAGCAATACTTCTTGACCTCCCTCTCTAAACACAGCATCTTTTCCAGATATCAGTTCCATCATCACAACTCCAAATGAATACACATCAACTTTCGAAGTGACTGAACCATTCCCCACATACTCAGGAGCCATATACCCTCTGCTACCCACGATCCTTGTAGTGAGGACACGAATATGATCTGTTGTTCTTGCATGACTGAAATTTGAAATCTTTGCTCTCAGGTTGCTATCAAGAAGAATGTTGCTGCTGTTGATGTTGTTGTGGATATACATAGGCTTAGCGAAGTTATGAAGATAGTGAAGCCCATGAGCAACATCCATGGCAATCTGAACCCGTCTACACAAACTATGAGTTTCTTTCGGTCTTTTTCCTGATCTAAGCCAATCTCTGAGAGAACCCATCTTCATGTACTCGAAAACAAGGTACAACGAATCTTGATTCATGCAAAAACCATATAGTTTCGTCAGATTGATGTGGTTAATCTTGCTCAACATGTTCACTTGCATCGATACATCAATACCCGTCTTTTTAACTGCTACAATCTGGTTCCCAAACACTCCATGATACACAGAACCCTTAATCCTACGCTTGTGATCAAAGTTTTTTGTAGCTTCCTGTAGTTCGTGAAAGCTAAAAGCTTTGATGATTCTCTCAAAGCTTGCAATTTCGACAAGAAGATCCTTAGGCGAATGTGACATTTCTTCACTATCTTGTACCTTTTTCCCTTTTCTCATGTAAAAAACTAGAATGCCCAGAAAAACCAGAAGGGAACACACAACTGAAATTCCAACTTTTAAGGGTTTCTTTGATTGCGATCTCTTTGCAGAAGGCACTGTCGACGTTTCTGGTCGGATTACCCTTCCGGAAATTGAAGGTTCTTCTGTTAAAGGAATCAAAATCGTAGTGAAAGGGAACAAAGTAGGATTAGTTTCAGAAAACCCGTTTGCTTTTAACACACTCTCGACACTCACGTTAAACCTCCGAGCAATATCAGGAACATTATCCTTGAAAACGATGGAGTAGGTGAGTAAATACTTGGTGCCACTCAAGACTTGATCTTTTGTAGGACAAGCACAACGTAGCGGGACTTTGAGCTCAAACCCATCTTCCAAATCGAACTCGCTGTATCTATTCGCATGCATTAAAGAACTACATGTCGATAGACCCTGAAACGTCAAATTTGCTACAATAAAATACGTTTTTGCCTGTGGTGAAAGGAGGAAAGTGGTGATGGCTTGGTAATTACACCGATCGGAGCAGGAACAGTTCACCGGAATAACGACGTCTTTGTCGATGGGGAAAACGGCGGTTTCTGTTACGTGGTTGATGCGGGCAAGCTCATGAGGGTTGGATGACATCAGGGCTGCGATGGTGGTGACAGAATCGAAAGGTGGTTTGGATTTGAAAATGAGAAACGATTGGCAAGAGAGATGGTGGTGGTGGTGGCCATTGCAGGTGTAAAGCAATTCATCTTTGGTTTTGCAGTTTAACACTTGATTTGCTGTGTACTGCTGTTGGGATCTTATAGATGAAGTTTGAAAACAGATGAGAATCATGAGATTGAAGAGAACCTTCATGTTTTTCGTTTTCTTTATGGTAAAACGGAAGAATTTTGATCAACTTATATCAAATACTCCGTATATGTATAACTTGAAGTTGAAATGTTGTATACAAAGAGAAATGTATTTGTGATTAAAATATTTAAAATGGTCCCGTGGGCCCTTGACTTGACCTGGTTAATTCTTAATAATCCCATAATTTACATAAATTATGTACTCGACTGGGCTAATAATAATAATAAGGGGTAATTACTAATCTAGCCAAATTAAGGGGTAATTAACAATTTTTAGCCAAAAATTAGCAAATGGCCAAAAATAGCCCACGAAACCGTAGGTTTCGAAATTCGCCTATTGTTTCGCCATTTCGTCTACTGTTTCGCGTTTTGTATAATTTTTTTTTTCTTTTCATTTTTGACATTCAAAACCGTATGTTTTTTAAAACCTACGGTTTCCTCTCGAAACCTACGGTTTCCCAAACCGTAGGCTACGGTTTTCGCAAAAAAAACTACGGTTTTTTTTTTTTTTTTTTGGGAGGGGTATTATCTACTATTTTGGCCAAAAAACTACGGTTTTAATTTTTGATTTTTGATTTTTTATTTTTAAAATTTTTTTTTTATTATTTTTTATTGTAATATAGAGTATAAAAAAGAGTGTTTATAATATGTACAATAACTTTAACAATTATTTTGTTTAAATTTTAACAATTATTTTGTTTGAATTATTTTGTTTTAATTTTAACAGTAGTCAACTCTGACGAAAAGAGTAGACTACTTTTTGGGTAAAGTTGACTACTTTGTTGCTAAATTTGACTACTTTTTTGTTAAACTTTACTACTTTTTCGTCAAAGTTGACTACTGTTTTCAACCTATCTTATATATATTAAGTATTTTATATTTTTGGAAAGTTTATTCTCTCTAGCTTCTTTATCCTCAAAATTAAGATAATGAGTTGTAACGAGTATTTTGTATTACTCGTTACGGATGGAAGATGGGAGTTTGTTAATTCCCAATTATCATATGTTTGGCCACTGGGATACAATCCGAAAATGTTTTATTTAGGTGTTGAATTTTACGAAAACACAACGTTCACCGAATTTGTTCAGTTGGTCAAGTGCAAGATGGGTCTTCCCGAAGAATAAAAAGTTAGTTTGGCCTATCAACATCCAAAACAACTCTATTATTGTGGTATTGTTGATGATCGTGATATTAGAAAGCCGATAAAGGTATAAATGGCGTTGGAGATAAATATGTGTCTGTGTATGTGGTGGTTGAAGAAGGCGTTTGGCCGAACGAAATGGATGATAGAGGAAAGGCATCTGCAGCAAATTTATCAAGTGGAAAAGGGAGCAACAACCCAATAGGTAATTTTAAAAGTCCAAGTAAAAGTCAATATCATAGTGTTGCTGAAAATGTAAATGTAGTGCCAGAACCGATTATGTATGTTACACCGGAGAATTATAAGTATATCGGTGATAATGATGTTGGTGCATATGTTAATGATGTTGGTGTAAATGAATCATTTGACAAAAAAAAAGCAGTAGCCATGGTGAATAAGGTTGGTAATGAATTTGGAAAACAGGAAGTTCCGTTTTTGCATGATGGTGAACTAAAAGGATATGGCGAGTTTGCGGATTGTGACAAGTTGGATATATCCGGCCTACATAGTGATTCTAACGGAGAAGAATTAGATGACGAATCTAAGCTTATTTATTCAGATATCATGTTTCATGGTATGCCCCCTTTGCCTTCGTGTCCTGTAAACGCTGATGTGAACATTCCATGTCAGAGGGTGGATATAAGTGAAGAGATTAAGGTTTTAGACATTTTTGATGACAAAGAGTTGCTCAAGCTTGCAATCGGAAGACAATGCATGGAACAAGGTAAGCAGTATAAGACTACCAGATCGAGCAAAGGAAGGTTCGAGGTTGTTTGTTTGGTTAAAAATTGTTCATGGATGGTTAGGGCAAGGGGAATCCAATCGACTACTGCTTTCCAAGTCACAAAAGTTGTTGACCAACACACATGTTGTGCGACAAATTTGGAGTCTAATCATCGACAATCAAAGAAAAAGGTACTCGGCCACTTTATCGCTGAAGTATTGGCCGGAGACTATAATAGAGTTTATCGGGGCAATGAAATTGTTAGGGACATCAATTCGAAATTTCCAATCAATATCTCATACCAACAGGCATGACGTGCAAAACAATATGCGTTGTTGATGTTAAGAGGTACCAAAGAGGATTCATTCACCAAACTACCAGTGTATCTGCATAACTTGGTCAAGCACAATCCAGGAACTGTTACTTAGATAAGAGTAGACGATGATGATCGGTTTGAGTTCGTGTTTATCGCGTTGGGTTGCTCGGTAAGCAGTGTTAATTTTTATAACAAATATAACATATGAATCCTAATTGGTATTTGTTAATGCAATAAAAAATAATTATAGGTACGAGCGTTCATCAAATATTGTAGGCCGACCCTAATAATTGATGGTGGTCACCTAAAGGGTGAATTCAAAGGCACGATGTTGCTCGCAGTGACAATGGACGGTCAAAACCAAATCATGCCTGTTGCTTATGCCATTTGCAAAAGTGAATGTACTGAGACGTGGTCCTGGTTCCTTCGAAAGCTACGTGAATGTATAGGCAATTTGGAAGACCTTACAATCATATCTGATAGGGCTCCATCCATAGCGACGTCAATTGCAAATATATTTCCTCATGCCTATCATGGAATATGTGGTATCCATTTGTATTTCAACATTTCAGCAAAATTTGGAAGCAGCGATACAATGCACGCATTATTTTGGGAGACATGAAAAGCCTATACCATTAAAAAATTCGATAATGGGATGAAAAAAATAAAAAATGTAAATATTCGTGTATGAGAATACCTACAAAACATCAATCCAGAAAGATGGGCCAGGGCACATTTTCCTGGGAATCGGTATTTTCTTATGACATCAAATAGTGCGGAGTCGATAAATTCAATGTCACGATTTGCAAGAAAGATGCCAATATTGATGTTGATTGAGTATTTTCGTGCAACAATGCAACAATGGAGTTTTCAGAAACGTAATGTTGCAGGTACTAATATTTTATATACATTGTTGCTTGAGTATTTTCTTAACTCGTGTAGTAATAATTTTATGAAAAAATATGTCTATTTTTTTAGCTGAAACTAAAACAACACTCACCCAATGGGCTGAAACGATTATACAAGCAAATAAGAATGCTTGTAATAATTGGATGGTGTACCCTATCTCAAATAGCAGATTTGAAGTGAAAAGCTCTAACCACAAAAGTGTCATTGTTGATTTCCAACAAAGAACCTGTACATGTAGGCGGTGGCAAATAGATGGCTTACCTTGTGGCCATGTTATAATATTAAATTGATAAATACCTGTTCCATTCATCTAGGTTCTCCACCACCCACATAAATTCCTTCGTGACTTTGTCTTTGGGTTCTTTTCCCAAAAAACCTTGATTGAGGATATAGAGCAAAATCGCACGGACAACATCGTCAGCCGATATCTCATTGAACCGTCGGTTCAAGATAAGTAGCTCTAAATCTTCTACAAGCAACGTAGTGTCCGTGTGATACGGGAAGACTCTGGACCGAAATGTATTATCACCGTATCCGTGATTATACATGGTTGAAAATTCGATCCTTGAAGTAAGAAAACGGCCCATGTAAAGTCCCGAGACAATACAAAACTCTTCCGGCCCAAATGAAAAAGAACGTCCAGAAAACATGAAATGTAGACGCTCAGCTGCATCACTTTCAGGGGTAGGACGCAGCATGTGAAGTAGTAGGCCATGAATAAGTAGTCCGTCTCCGGACTGAGCCGGTAGATCCAAGAGGTAACCAAAGCTAGTCCTTGAAAATATCTCTCGAACCGGCCCGTTCAACTGACTCAAAACTTCATGCAACTTGTGACATGAAGCTTTCACAGATATATTGCATGTCATCTTTTTGTTAGGAAGCTACAAAATAAATAAAAAATAAAGTTAAATAAGGTTTTATAAAAAAAAACAGTGTTAGAGTATCACACAATAAAACAGTTAAACATTTCATATAATCTATTTACTTTCTATAAAATACCAAAGTAAATTATTTTACACAAAATTTTGTCTTTTCTATAGTACTTGTATACAAAAAATAGTATTGTACTTTAAAAATGGTGTGACAATAACATATTTTATAACAAACCCGAAACTACCAAAACACAATGTTATTTTATCAATACAGTATAATACAAAGTATCTACACATTATACACATAAAAACTTCTTCAAATAGATACTACGTTGCTATTGTATGCTATAATTGAGACATAGAAAATAACATCATTTTTAACAACATGCAAAACATTGAATCATAAGATACATACAAGAGGATATAATCGTTACAAATACGTTTAAACAAAATTTTTTTTAATAAAATTGAAAATAAAAAAATATATATATAAAACCATACATTTTAGGAAACCTACAATTTTTTTTTTCCAAAAAAAATCATAAGATACATACACGGGGATACAAATGTTTATTGGCTATTAAATTTAAAAAAAAAAAACGGTTTTTTTGTGAAACCTACGGTGTACAAGTGTTTACTGCACAAACTGTGCAGTAAATACTTGTACACCGTAGGTTTCTAATAAACGTACGGTTTCCCTTTTTTTTTATAAAAAAAATTATACCACAACAAAATACATCCAATTCCTATTCTATTGATACCATTTTAAAAAAAAAACGAAAAAAAAATAACGTCCGTACGGTTTCATATGAAATCTACGGTGTACAAGTCGAAACTGCACAAACAGTGCATTGGGCACTTGTACACCGTAGGTTTCATATGAAACCTACGGTTTTATATATATTTTTTTTCAATTTTTTTCAAAAAAAAATTTATCCCCATAAACAAAACCTACTCCTAATCACAAACACGGTAAAATTTTTATGAAAAGTAGACAAACCTGATTGTTCTTCGGGTGCTCCATTGAGAGAAAAACGTAGCC